GAGAACCCTTTCTCAGTCTTGGCCGTCAGAGCAGCAGCAGAGACACAAATCACCCTCAGTGTCTCTGAGATCACGAACATCTACAGACTCTGCTCCTTCTTTCTCTGGTCTCTCTCTCTCTCTGGTCTCTCTCTTTCTGGTTTCTATCTCTGGTCTCTCTCTGCTCTTTTTAGGCCCTTGTTTCTGGTTTCTCTCTCTCTGCTCTCTCCCTTTGGTCATTCTGATCTCTCTCTCTGGTCTCTGTCTTTTTTCTATCTCTGGTCTCTCTCTTTCTGGTTTCTATCTCTGGTCTCTCAGCTCTTTTTAGGCCCTTGTTTCTGGTCTCTCTCTCGGCTCTCTCCCTTTGGTTTTTCTGATCTCTCTCTCTGGTCTCTCTCTTTTTTCTGTCTTTGGTCTCTCTCTGCTCTTTCTCTCGCCCTTGTTTCTGGTGTCTCTCTCTGCTCTCTCCCTTTGGTCTCTCTCTCTCTCTCTGGACTCTCTCTTTTGTCTCTCTCTCTGCTTGCAAAGACTTTTGCGTGTGTATTAATGTATAGCTAACATGCGATAAAAGGCGTTAGCTAACACAGGCTCTACACAGGTGTGAATGTGGTGTGTGCGATTGTCATATTTTTGTGCGTTCGCCACAGCTGGACTCCAGCTGAGAATGCAGGACTTTTCAGCACTCGGTGATTTGTTAGAATTCATTTTTCTTGAATTTTGAAAACGGTATGAAATGTGCCTTCAGCCCAGGAGCACCAGAGATTTGCTTTAGACTGGTGCAAGAGACCAGAGAGAGATTAGAAAGAGAGACCAGAGGGAGAGACCAGAGACAGACAAAAAGAGAGAGACCAGAAAGAAAGACCAGAGAGAGACCAGAAAGAGACTAGAGAGAGACCTGAGAGCGAGACTATAGACACCCGAGAGACCAGAGAAGGAAAGACCTTAGAGAGAGACACCAGAGAGAGACCAGAGAGAGGGACCAGAGAAGGGAAGACCAGAGAGTCTAGAGAGTCCAGAGAGAGACCAGAGAGAGACATCAGAGAGAGACATCAGAGAGAGGGACCAGAGAAAGGGACCATAGAGAGGGACCAAAGAGAGATTATAGAGAGACCAGAGAGAGAGAGACCAGAAACAGACACCAGAGAGAGACCACAGAGAGACCTGAGAGCGAGACTATAGAGACACCCAAGAGACTAGAGAAGGAAAGACCGCAGAGAGAGGAGAGAGAGAGACCAGAGAGAGTCTAGAGAGCGAGACTAGAGAGACACCCGAGAGACCTGAGAGAAAGGCCAGAAAGAGAGACCAGAGAGGATCCATGTCCAAGTTTTAACTGAGGGGAGAAAAAAGTCAAACCAAAGCTGGATATTTTAATCTTTTATTTAGAATACATCCCACTTTGCATATTACTTAAATCTCACCACATTTTCAAAACCACAAAACACATGACGACGCTACTACGTTTTTTTTTTTATGCCTCGAATGTTGCCATGGAGACAGTTACCACTTCACATACACCTTATAGTATTTGAACCCAACACGATTCGTTAGAAAGAGTCCGTTTGAAAGTCCTTCTTGTCGGCCCAACATTGCACATAAATATATTTCTGTTAAATAAAAGCAGCGGCCATTTTGAATCAAAAGTGTTCAAGCCAAAAGATGAAAGTCTGAGATCCAGGGACCAGTGGCTCCAGGGACGGGAGGAGGCGGGTTCTTTGTGGCTTTATCATTTTTGTTTTTATATTGGAATCACCGAAACGGACCAAAACGTTACGACATAGACGTATGGATGAAGACATGGGTGGAATTTGCGAATGAGAGAAAAACCAGAGCGAAAGACCAGAGAGAATAGAGCGAGAAAGAGACCAGAGACAGAGACCAGAGACAGAGACCAGAGGGAGATAGACCAGAGAGAGAGGCCAGAGAGAGACCAAAGAGAAACCAGAGAAAGAGAGAGAGAGACCAAAGGGACACCAGAGAGAGAGACCTGTGAGAGGCCAGAGAGAGACCAGAGAGAGAGCAGAGAGAGAGCAGAGAGAGATCAGAGAGATACCAGCGAGAGACCAGAGAGAGACCAGAGAGAGACCAGAGAGAGAGTAGAGAGAGACCAGAGAGAGAGCAGAGAGAGATCAGAGAGATACCAGCGAGAGACCAGAGAGAGACCAGAGAGAGACCAGAGAGAGAGTAGAGAGAGACCAGCGAGAGACCAGAGAGAGACCAGAGAGAGACCAGAGAGAGACCTGAGAGAGGCCAGAGAGAGACCAGAGAGAGACCAGAGAGAGACCAGACAGAGACCAGAGAGAGACCAGAAAGAGACCAGAGAGAGACCAGAGAGAGACCAGAGAGAGACCAGAGAGAGAGCAGAGAGAGACCAGAGAGAGACCAGAGAGAGACCAGAGAGAGACCAGAGAGAGACCAGAGAGAGATCAGAGAGACACCAGCGAGAGACCAGAGAGAGGCCAGAGAGAGACCAGAGAGAGACCAGAGAGAGACCAGACAGAGACCAGAGAGAGACCAGAAAGAG